TCCTGACTTATCGTGGTGCCTCAGGGGTCTGCCATGTGGATACGTGATGGTGATGACATACTCATCGTGGTGTCTCGGGGGTCTACCACGTAGATGTGTGGTGGTGCTGACGTGATGCCCGTAGGGCTCGCCACGTGCCAAGTATAGTATAGATACCCACACTCAGCTTCAGCATCTTTAGTCCACCTCTCAGTCATCTTCATCTGCCTCTACTCTCACCTCTCTTCATTCAGGTTTGCTTAGGTTCTCTTCAGTTATTTCTTCCTCTGTTTGACTTTTTGATTCTGGTGCCTCTCATCATATGATTCCTTACCTTTCCTTACTCCAAAACTGTATCCCCTCTCCCTTTCCTATTACTATTAATACTGCTAATGGGTCTGGTATGTCTGTCCTATCTATTGAGTTTGTTTTACTTTTTGCCATGTCTGTTGTTACTATTCCCTTTATTCTTAATGTTCCTCAACTGTCAGTTAGCTTGCTTTCTATCAGTCAATTTGAGGCTTCTATTTTTGATGTTATCTTTTCTTCTTTTGTCTGTTGTGTGCAGGATCGGTGTCCAAGAAGCAGATTGGGACCGGTCGTAGAATTAGAGATCTCTATATGGTGGAAAGCCTGCATCTTCCTCTGTCTACCTCCCCCGTTGCACTTTCATCTTTTTAGTTAGATTCTTAGTCGAGTCAGTTTTATTTATGGCATTCTCGCTTAGGTCATTTGTCTGTTGACCGCTTGCAGTCTTTAGCTTAGTCAGGATTGTTATGTAAAGTTTCTCCTAGTCAAATTAATGAGTGTCGAGGATGTAAACTTGCTAAAATGATAGCTTTACCTTTTAACAACAGTACTTCTATTTCTGCGTCCCCTTTTTCTCTTGTAGATACTGATGTCTTGGGACCTTCTTATGTTCTCACTAACGAGGGTTCTACGTACTATGTGTCCTTTATTAATGATTGTACCCGCTATATCTGGGTTTATCTTATGGCTCATAAATCTGATTTCTACCAGATATATCATACCTTTCAGTCTATGATCATTACACAGTTTGGGGCCACAATTAAAATATTTCGGTCTAACTTGGGTGGGGAATGCTTTAAAACTGAATTTTAGGAGTATTTGGCCAAATTAGGCACCATTCACCAAACCTCCTGTACTGATACCCTTGCCCAAACTGGTCATGCTGAACGTAAACACTATCATCTCCTTGAGACAGCTCGATCTCTCCTTCTCTCTGCCTCTATTTCGACACCATTCTGGAGTGAGGCAGCTCTTACTGCTGTTTTCCTCCTTAATCGCATGCCGAGTCCCCTACTCTCCAGTCAATCCCCTTATGAGGCTCTGTATTCCCAACCTCTTAATTATTCCCTTTTGCGTATCTTTGGGTCTGCTTGTTTTGTCCTCTTTTCCCGTAAAGATAGGACTAAACTTAGTGCTTGGCCTGTCTTGTGTGTCTTTTTGGGTTACAGTCTTACTCAAAAAGGCTACTGCTGTTACGACCCTGTCTCTCGTCGCCTTTATGTCTCCTGTCATGTTGCCTTTCTCGAACGTCTGTCTTACCTTCAGTTTCCCCTATCACTGCTCCCGTTTCCAAAGAGGATTTGGTTCGTATTGACCCATTTCTTTCTGAGGTCCCGTCTGATAAGTACATCTCCACTGTGCCTCCTGAGGCCATTCTTACTTCTCTATCTGCGTCACCTATGGCTCCTTTTCCTCCTTCGGTTTATTCTTCCCCTCCGTTGTTGGTCTATTCTCGTCGCAAGGCTCCTCCACCACTAGTTGTCTCTACTCCTGTTGCTGCTCCTTCTGCTTCTGACAACTCTAATCCTGCTGCCCACCGATATCCTCCTCGTGAACGTCGTCCTCCAAACAGGTTGGGTTGGTCTAATACATGTTTTTCTGCTTCCTATTGTACTTTTTTGTCTATTATTCATTCTTTTTCAGAACCTCAGTCTTACAAGGAGGTCTATCAGGATCCCCTTTGGATTCAAGTTATGGAGGATGAGTTGTCTGCTTTACAGAAAACTAGTACTTGAGAGTTGGTTCCTTTGCCTGCTCGTAAGAATCTGGTTAGTTGCAAATGGGTCTACAAAGTCAAGACTTATTCTGATGGTTCTCTTGAGCGCTACAAAGCTCGTTTGGCTGCCCAAGATTTTTCACAGGAGTATGGTATTGATTATGAGGAGACCTTTGCTGCTGTTGCCAAGATGACTACTGTTTGTACTTTGATCTCTGTCGCTGTTATTCGTTTTTGGCCTCTTTATCAGATGGATGTTGAGAATGCTTTTCTTAATGGCCATCTCACTGCATGCGTTCTCCCCCTGGCTTTCACCATTCCTCTGGACAGGTTTGCCGCCTTCGGCGTGCTCTGTATGGTCTGAAGCAGTCTCCTCATACTTAGTGTGATCGTTTTCAGACTGTTGTTACTGCGCTTGGGTTTCATTCTTGTGCTCAAAACTCTGCTTTGTTTCTTCTCCACACCTCTTCTCGATTTGTTGTCTTATTACTGTATGCGGATGATATGATCATCACTGGCTCTGACTCTTCTGCTATCTCTGAGGTCAACCAGCATCTTTTCTGCACTTTGAGACGAAGGATCTGGGTCCCTCACAGTATTTTCTTGGTATTAAGGTAACTTTTTCTCCCAAGGACTACTTTCTCTCTTAGGCCAAGTATCCCAATGCGGTTATTCATCGTGTCGGTTTTACTGACACTAAGATTTCTGATACCCCCATTGAGCTTAATGTGAAGCTCACCCTTACTGATGGTGTTCTTCTAGATGATGCTACTTTATATCGAGAACTTGTGGGTTGCTTAGTCTATTTGACGGTTACTTACCCTGATCTTGCCTATGATGTTCATGTGGTTAGTCAGTTCGTTTCTGCTCCTCGTTCTACACATTGGGCTGTCTTAGTTTGGATTCTTCGCTATCTCCGGGGTATTATATTTTAGGATTTACTGTTGTCTTCTACTTCCTCTTTGGAGTTAGTAGCTTATGCTGATTCTGGTTGGGCCGGTGATGTCACTGATCGCAAGTCCACTTTTAGCTTCTGCATGTTTCTTGGTGATTCCTTGATTTCTTGGAAGAGTAAGAAACAGACTGTTGTTGCGCGTTCCACTGCCAAGGCTAAGTATTCGTGCTATGGCTCATGCCACTACTGAGATTGTTTGGCTTCGTTGTCTCTTGACTGATTTTGGTGTCCCTCAGTTTTCTCCGACCTCCCTTTACTGTGACAACCATAGTGCTATTCAGATTGCACATAACACTATCTTTCATGAGCGGACGAAGCATATTGAGATTGATTGCCATTTTGTACGTTAGCATTTGCAGTCTGGCTCCATCTTGCTTCCTTTCGTCTCGTCGGCTTTGCAACTTGCTGATTTCTTTACGAAGAATCACATCACTGCTCGGTTTCAATTTCTTCTTGGCAAACTCTCAGTGTTTTCTGCTAAAACACTTTGAGTTTGAGCGGGGGTGTGAGATGAGAATATTATGTCATTATAGACATTTATGTAATCATGGAATTAGGTTAATATGTAATTATGGAATTAGGTTAATCGTGAATATTCGATTGATTGTATTTCCTATTCTAGATTAGGGTTAGGATTCCTATAAATATTGGTTGTAATCTTTGTATTATTTACAAGTTGAATATACAGAACATTCAGTATTTCTTACAAACAGCAGTTAGCATATCTGATAAGCTAGTTCTTTGCATGATCGAGAGACTGGTTTTGAGTTATGAAGAATGGATCATGGATGCTATCTTTTTTATATATTGCCAATACATTTTATGCTGTTTAATAAAGTCTATACGAGACACAATAGGATCTTCTTAGGTTCATTAGTGTTCATAAATTGCCAGAGTGTCTAATCCGTCCGCGGAAGAATGCATCATATTCTTAAATTGTGCATCCATGATCTGATAGCAAATATGCAATCAATTTGCAGATGGGACATCATGCACATGCAAATTTGTAGATGATTTAAATGATCACAAGGCCAAGTTTAACTTAGTGGCGTGGGTTAGGGTTTAGGGTATACCTTTATTGTGAACTTACAGTTTTGTATTTAATTGACTTTAGATGCTTTTAAATTACATAAGACAGTTATTCAATTATGTCTTTTTATTTTAAGTTTTTTACATTAGTGAATGCTTATTCTTCTTTTTATTTTTAGGCTGATGATTTGGTTACTGAAAAAGAGATCGAGTTGAATAGGTATAGGAGCCCCTTTTAATGAGGTGAGAGAAACTAAAGAGGGAGAAAGAGCTAAAAAAAGCCACAAGGCATCCTTTGCTTCTAGAGGCTTTGACTTTTTTTGTATGTTCTGTAGATATAGATGAGCACCTATTTCAGTTCTTAAATAATTTCATTAGACCTAAGAATGATGGTTGCTTCATGGCTTTGGAATCCAAGAATCAAATGGCTTCAGAATTACAGTTCCTAATCAGCTGAAATAAGTTTGTTTCCTGGCTAATCTCTCTAAATTGGTTATTGTCTCCCTTGGTTCTTGGTTGTATGCCTTGGGGTTTTGCATAAGTATTAATTATTTGCAAACAACGCTGAATCATAAATTTAAGCAGTAATTACAATGTTAGACTACTTCAAAAACATTAAATAGAAGTTCCGAGTTTCAGGATGCTTTTGAAGTATTTACTTTGATGTCCATCCTGAAGCATAATTATATTTAACCAAACCAACTAAGCCTTGTGTCCCAATCAAGTGGGGTTGGCTACATGAATCATTTTTCGCTATTCAGCTCTATCAAGGGCTATATGCTCAATTAAAACTCCGCATGTGTCATGCTTATTGCTTAATCTTTTATACAGCCGGTCCCAAGTCCGGATGAAAGAGGAGGGTTGTGTGGTAGGTAGCCTGACAGTTCCCATCAGATCCCTTATGAACCTGAAGAATAATTATACAAATTGAAAAAAATGTACATTCAATGTGTTGTTTTATTGTACTTAAAAAGGCGTTCTTATGCTATTTCTTTTGCTCTGACTTCGCAGAAGTCTCAGAAATTGCAGTTTGCAAGGAAATGTACCTGATCTCAGCAGGATACCAAAGCTTAGCTATTTGTAAGTTGGAGTGCTGTTCAACTCACTAGAATGTTCTATTATATATATATACATATTGATAAATAGAATGTTCAAATATTTATTTCCTTTCAAGTTTTTTTTCTGGGGTACTACTAACTGAGCTTCTGTTACAGAGATCTCAGTCACAATCGGCTCACTGGATCCATACCATCAAATCAGCTTTCACAAAATATGACAACAATGTATGTAGATGGCCAATGTAGACTTGCCTATAATTGAATATGATTACATATTTCTTTGTAGGGTCTTGTTAAAGTGTGGCCTTAAGGCATAGGTTAAGAATGCTTAAAAAGATTGTACATTCTCTATTGAACTCACTTGCATTCAGAATTCAAATCTTTTTAAGCTTCTTAACATATGCCCCAAGTCTACACGTTAACAAATCCTTTTTTATCTCTAGGCTTTACTTCTTCTTCTTCTTCTTCTTCTTCTTCTTCTTCTCTCTCTCTCTCTCTCTCTCTCTCTCTCTTTCCCCTTTTTTTCCCATCTTATTGCAAGCAAATTGTCAAATCTAAATGTAAAGTTTCAAAATTCATTTCAGTAGTCAATGTGAAATAGACATGTTGAAGAATTTTTAATGATAAGACATTTGTTCTTACTTACATGTCATGTCATGTGCAGTGACCTGTCAAATAACCAACTTAATGGATCTATTCCAGAAAGTTTCTTAAGTCTCCCTTCCCTACAGAAACTGTGAGTATCCTCATACTTCTTTGGTACTTTGTTTTCCTATTGCGAAGTAGTTTATGCACTGTAATCGTTATGAAATACTTTAAATGTGGTTCTTTGGAGTATTGAGGAAATATGTGAGGCTTAAACTTCATGGGTATTAATAAATAATTAAATACTTTTAGCTTTTCCTTTTTGATGGAATTTTTCAACTTTAAAATAGAGGATTCTAGTGAGTTATTTTTTGGTCTGTGCTTCCCATGCATACTTGATAACGATGTGAATATTTATTATAGGTTACTTGAGAATAATTATTTGACTGGTTCATGGAGGATCGAAAAGAGCCAAAATTCTATGGTCTTGTGCCGTCTTCGCAATTTTTTGGGTTTTATGGATGGAACGAAATCAGAGGTTGTTTGAAGAGAAGTTTCGGGAGATGGGCTGTTTGTGGGATCATGTTTGTCATTTATCTTCTTTTTGGGCGTCAGGGAACTCATTATTTAAGGGAGTTCCACTTTTTTTGTTAGTTAGAGACTGGGTGGCAGTGTGTGCTCTGTAGAGTTTTGCCCGTGTTTAGCTTGTTACGGGTTATTTTTGTGTTTGTATTGTCATTGTCCTATTGTAAGAGGATGTCTTATCCTCTTTTTCCTTTTTGTTTTATCAATAAAGCTTTTGTTGTTGATAAAAAAAAAAAAAGAATAATTATTTGACTGGTTCCGTGCATGCTAGCATTTGGAAGAACATGTCCTTCATTGCAAAGAGCTTGAAGCATAAAATTACTGTTACTCTTTGGAATAAAATAGCATTAATTTGTTAAATGTTGCATGCTGATTTTCCCTTCTGTGCACTTGAACATATGCAGTGATCTCGAGAATAATTCACTCTCAAACATTGTTGGAGATCTCAATCCTCCGGAAAATGTTACCTTTAGGTATGGTTCCTTTTTTTTCCCCTATAAATCTTGTACATTAATACTGCAGATTCCATGTAATCCAATGATTTAGATTTGACTAAACCAAATTAGTTATGCTAATAAAAGTTCAGATATGCATGAAGTGCATTTTATGTTATAGGATATAGAATGCACACTTGGGTCTCTATGATTTTGGGAGGATGAGCTCAGGTTGCATGAGGACCAAATTTAACAAAAATGACGAACATACTTAACAGACCCCGATCCTACAAGCCAACCAGGGGGAGGATGTTGAGGAACCCACCCCTCACCCCCCAATTTCAGTCAAGGGCTATAAGGAGGTTGATATAGGTTTCAAACCCGGACCCTTTTCCTTTTTTCATTTTGGCCGAAAGAAGGGAGAGAAAGTTGCTAGAAAATATTTGACCTTTTACGACATACTTGTACTTCGGCTGAGATAGTGCATCCCGACATTAATTGTAAACTCCATTCCCAGGTCTGACCCCATTTAAGAGGAAAATATTTGATGGAAGTATAACTAAGTGTTTAAAAGGTTTTCTTTCATTTTCCTTCTTTTTGCTTCTCCTGCTTAAATCAGACAGCAGAAAAGTAATGGTGTTGATAATTTTTCCCTCTCCTATTTTATTTCAACCAAATGTAGCAAAAGTGTTCTAAAGGATTGATGCATGCATATCTGTTCCATTTTGTTTCACTTAAACACTTGCAAATCCCTTTGTTATAAGATTTGGGGAAATACAGATCTAACACTTATTGCCATGAGCATCAAGAATCCATTTAAAGAAGCTTACACCATTAAATTTTGATTTCTGATGTGTTTCCAGTGAAGACATGTTCGATTTATTGATTTTGAGAAAATAATTAGACATTTATTGTTGAATGGAAAGATGCATGAACCAACTAGGCCTAGCTAGTTAGCCACCATGACTCTCTTGAGGGCTTAGTCCCAAGGGAGAGGTTATGGGTTCAACTCTCCCCAAGTGGGAGTTGAAAGCACTTGGTGCTTTGCAAAGGTGGGGAGGCTAACTCCCATAGGTACTAATCTAACAACTAACAACTAACTTTCGCCAATCAAAAAAAAAAAAAATTGGAAATATGCATGGAATTTCAGGTTGTGAGGCAATGACACGCACTCATGATGCTAAAAATGTTTTATTTTTAGATTGTTGTCTAATCTATGTCTCAATATGTGCAAATCTGAAATGTATGATTTCATTAAGGGCTGGAACCTTATTATAAAAATATTAATTAGAGCTTTCTATTGTTTAATTATTTGTTTTGTGGAAAACATTTAATACTGTGTGCATATTTTCTTGTAATAGAGGCACTAAATTGCTGTTGAATTTAAAACACGTGCGGAACATAACATGTAAAATTTATTGTACATTCAGGTGTGCCAACTAAGAAGCTGCATTTCTCATTTTTTAACAATGTTCTACTGTGCTTATGAATCTCAGTACTTCAGCTCAGATGTTGGATTCACTGAATGCATTTTCTTCATATTATTTGTGATTCTAGTGGTAATGAATTGACAGATGTAATCATTATAGTAGTTATTAGTTATTGCTGGAAATTGTGTTCATGTATATAATATGATAGTGGTGTTGGTGGTAGATAGTGGCATGTATAGAATATGATAGTGGTGTTGGTGGTAGATAGTGGCATGTATATAATATGATAGTGGTAGATAGTGGTAATATATAATATGTAAGTGGCATATAATGGGTTATGATGATGTTTGTAATATCTCCTATATAAGGAGTGTCATTTGGTCTTGTAAGATAAGAAGTTTGAATATAACAGAAATATATTTCTTCTTCCTCATATTTTTCGGAGTTCTTCTTCTTCATATTTTCTAAGTGTTATTACTATGTTTTGTTTTGCCTTCTTTGTGCTTATGATTTTGGCGGCTGTTCTTCAGGCTACACAGCAATCCTATCTGCAACAACGCAAACATACCAAACATAGGCCAATTCTGTGGATCTCAAACTGGAGGGAATGACATTCCAGAGAACTTAACGAAGTCAACTATGGTTTGTCTACTTCAGTCATGCCCTATGGACGGTAACTTTGAATATATGCCAGTTTCTCCAATGCCGTGCGTTTGTGCAGCACCTCTGAGAATTGGGTATCGGCTAAAGAGTCCTAGTTTCTCTTATTTCTCTCCAAATGTTTCTTATCCATTTGAGATGTACTTGACAAGTTCTCTTAACCTGGAACCTTATCAACTATCTATCGAATCGTTTGTCTGGCAAGAAGGACCTCGTCTGAGGATGTATTTGAAGCTTTTCCCTAGGATCGTTGATGATCACACATATATTTTCAACTTTAGTGAGATTCTGCGCATTAGAGGCAGATTCACATCTTGGGACTTTAATGCTAGTGACTTTTTTGGACCTTATGAGCTTCTCAACTTCACTCTTTTGGGGCCATATGGTAAGCACTCAAGCTGACATCTTTTTCTAAGTTGAAGAAGTTCAAGAACCACTGATTTTGGGTATGGTGTTGGGTGTTGATATGTGTCGAAGTGTCGGATTTATCTAATTCTCATGTTAAGAAACAAGTTGGCTACATTTATTCTTTTGTAGCCATGTATTTTTTTTAATGGCTTTGATGAAATGTCGCCACATCGTATAGGGAGTTCCTAAATTATGGGGATACTATGTGAATTTCTTCATATTCATGTTTATTTTACCTGGAATTGTAACCTCATATTTTTTTTTTTTTTGTTGCTGTAGTGAATTTCGGGACTCAAGTGAAACGTATAAGCAAAGGTGTTTTGGTAACTATCGTATTAGCAGCTGTTGCCGTTTCTGTTATAGTCTCTGTAGTGGTTACATTTTTGGTTGTTAGAAGACATGCTAGACACCAGCATACCCTGTCAAGAAGGCATTTATGTGAGTTATTTTATATGCATACTAAAATTGGGTTCTCTTTCTCAATTATATTTTGTCTGAGAATTACAAAAGAGATTCACATGAACTCCAATGCTATTTTTGCAGCCTCCTCAAGGCTGTCTATAAAGATTGATGGTGTTAAAAGCTTCACCTTCAAAGAAATGACGTTGGCAACTGAAGACTTCAATAGCTCAACTCAAGTTGGTCAAGGAGGTTATGGGAAGGTTTATAGAGGAATTTTATCTGACAATACAATTGTGGCCATAAAGCGTGCTACAGAAGGATCTTTACAAGGCCAAAAGGAATTCTTAACAGAGATACAAATGTTGTCTAGGTTACATCACCGAAATCTAGTTTCGTTGGTTGGATACTGTGATGAAGAAGGAGAGCAGGTATGGTCGATTGGGCAGTGCACTCCAGTAAAGTATTATGTTTTTTTTTTCCAGAAATTTTGTCCGTACAACCAAATGGACCGTTAGAATTCACCCATGCTCTAGTTAGCTAGTTTATTCTGCTAAGACCATGAACTAGTTTATCAGCAAACGACATAACCATGGAAATCTTTCTGATGGTCTTCAGTCTTTTGATTATTTGTTGATTTTATATGAAAGAGACACTTCACATAAGCATAATGCCTTTAAGTCAATGTCTCTCTTAATTTTCAAGTGCACACAAACTCACTGATAACTATGATTGTCACAGTGAGTGTTAAAATTTAATTAAAAGCGAAGTTCTAGTTTATAATGTGGAAGATAGTCACGCTGTCAAAATGGAATATTGGGGAGCTTCTATTTCCACATCATTTTTCGTTCGGAAGTTGATTTCCAAACAAAATTACGTGATTTAGAAATCAACTTCCGAACCAAATTTATAACCAAATTATAAGATTTTGTTCAGAAGTTGATATCCAAACTTAAAAAGTGTGTGAACTGAGATAATATGGTGTGTGGAAATATAAGCTCTTGGAATATTGGAGTTGGCAAACTTGCTTAAACTTGATATACTATGCTACAAAAAATGAAGAAATTTTGAGGGGAAATAATGCTCCCCTTAAAATCATCGTAGAGTTATTTAGGAAATTTAGTTTTGTGTATGTAGATAACATCCTTTCACTATATACTCAGCGGCTTTTGAGTTTTGCTGAACTTACTAGTTTCTTATTCATGCTTGACGATTAAATGCATAAATGCTTTTTTTGTGCAATGAACTAATAGCATGATTTAGTGCAGTATTTTGATGCACGAGGATCAATTCCGCTATAAAAATTTATTCATTTGATTACATTCTTGGTGCACATGCAGATGCTGGTTTATGAGTTCATGCCTAATGGCACCTTGCAAGATTGGCTCTCTGGTAAGGAAGTTTTTTAAGTTTTTATTTTTATAAATAAGATAAATTTTATTGAAAAAGCATCAAGATGATGCAAAGAATACAAAACCGCTCAAACAGCTAGCGGAAACTAGAAAACTTGTAGCGAACTCCCAAGGGATAAACACCAACTCCTAACCAAGAATGCCATCTAAACAATCTTAAAAAACAAACAAATCAGAAGTTCCATCCAAGCCATTAAGCGCTATGATGAACCTCTTGAAAAGTTCACCTATTACGTTCCAACCAAACTAACCATATCAAACAAAGAGGCGCCAATGACCACACGGGCCGCCACCAGCAACCAACCCGAGGTCCACGCCAACTCCACAGCATATCCATCACCCTACGCGGCTGAACCCAAACAATCCCAAAAAGAGAGCAAATAAGACACCACAAACGACTAGCCACAAGACAATTCAGAAACAAATGATCCACGGACTCCCAGGTTATATCATTACTTAATTCTGTTCCATGGTTAAACTTTTCTTCTTTTCTTTCTCTCTTTCATTTCTTTCCCTGCTGGAGATTCAAGTTTTTTAGTGTGGGATTGGAATGAGAATTTATATGATTTTTTTTAGGGGGTCTGAATGGTATTCAATTTGTAGATGGTGAAAAAGTTAATTTTTTCCATTCAGATTGAATCAACCTATTGTTCTTCAGGAGAATCGTGCAGCTTAATGTTTTAGATCGAACATGGTCCAATGTGTCAAGTTACCAATTATGCCAAAAGTTTAAACTTCTAGGAAATGGACACAACAATATATATCAAGCTTTCCAAACACCCTCCCTCGTGTACAAGCCTGCCTTGCACGTGGAGATGCAAACATTCAAATCCAAAGAGTGCAAGAAGGAATGCAAACAGTGATGAGATGCAAACGGAGAGACTTGAAGCCAAGAACTCCCAACCTGAGCTCTAATACCATGTTAAGTTACCAATTATCACAGAAGTTTAAGTTGTTAGGAAATGGGCCCAACAATGTATATCAAGCTATTCAACTTGTTATGCATCTATTATAATCTTCTCATCATTTTCTGTTAAAACCTACCAACACCTACCACTACACCTACTCCACCCACTTCACCTACTCCACCTACTACTCCACCCACTACATACCTACTACACCTACTCCACCCACTTCACCTACTACTCCACCCACTACATACCTACCTCCTCTAATCTTCTATATATAGGACTCATTGTAAACATAACAAATATCAATCAATAATACAATTCTCTATTTCTCTTTATACATTAAATTTTCTACAAATACAAACAGCTAATAAATTTAGTATTGCAGCAGACTGTTAGGAAGGGCTCACAACTATGAACAAACCAATACAAACCAAATTGTTAAAAATACCATTAAAAACAAAATAAAAAGAAAATTATAATCTTTTGCTGTTGTTGCTGGTTTCTTTTACTGTGAAGTTATTTTGATGCAAGATGCCAGCGATCTGTTTCTAAAATATTTTATCTGCTTTTTACAATTTCATGCAAATCACATCAACATTTTGGTGAGTTCAAATTTGATTATGCTATGTTTTTGTTGAAATGGTTTCTGTAATTCAACAGCTAAATCCAAGGAGACTCTGAACTTTGGTGTGAGGTTACAAATTGCATTGGGTTCAGCCAAGGGCATCCTTTACCTCCATACCGAAGCTGACCCACCTATATTCCACCGCGATATCAAAGCCAGCAACATATTGCTGGACACCAAACTTACCGCTAAAGTTGCTGATTTTGGACTTTCGCGTCTTGCACCAGTTATGGATGATGAAGGGACAGTACCTAATCATGTATCCACAATTGTAAAGGGAACACCAGTAAGTCTGTCTTTGCCAGCACTGTTAAAATTATATAAAATTGGGAACAAATTTAAGAAATAATTGTTACATACAAAAATAAAGAATTTTTTTTCATATTTAATTATATACATGTATTTATAAACTTTGTTTCTAATTTTCTTAGGCTGTAATCAGTTATCAATGCCAAAATGAGAGCTTTCTTTCAACGTTTTCAAAACAAATTTGGAAAGATTGTGATTTATATCTGTCATTGCCGTAAAACATGTGAATTTAGGAAAGATGATTGGTTGCTTTTGTTTCCGCATCATCTTCATAAATATAAATGTGGTAATTTGTGTGATCATGTCTACTCTGGAGATTTTGTTATAAGGTTAATTGTACTATTCAAGAAGAGGAGTTTAGCAAAGTTTGTTGAGAGAAAATGTTCTCTTATCTTTCTGACTCAATCAAATTTCAGCTCTTCCTTTATTCTATTAAGGAGATCGACGACCATTTGAAACCAAACCACCTATCAACTGTCACAACAGTGTCTGTTACAACGGTCCGACATGACCCCGTAAACTGTCCTGCTACAACGATCCGACATGACCCCATAAACTGTCCTGCTACCACCATACAGTGTCTTCACCATCGGTCTGACACGACCATACAGTGTCTCCTATCCTCTTTTCTTTTATGTATTCGTCTATTTTCTTGTTTCGTTACTCTCTCCAAACTCAAGTTGGCTAGTTCCTATCCCCTTGAGTTTGCGGGGGGCTGTTAAAACCTATCACCTACTTCATCCACTAAACCTAACCCAGTACACCACTACCACCTCACCTACTCCACTAAACCTAACCCACTACACCACTACCACCTCCACTTCACCTACTCCTTACCTACTACACACTCACCCTCTTCTATATATAGGAATCATGAATCATTGTAATAAATATAACAATACATCAATCAATAATACATCAGTTTTTTTACAGCATGTTTGCTTACTGATGTCAAACATAGGTAGGAGTGTAAAACAGTTACAACTCAGGTAAATGGTAAAAATCGTTCATGGTAGTTGATTTTTGAAATTTTGTCATTGTTTGACTGAAGTTCTGTAAAAACTAATCCGATTTTGGCTGCAAGAAAGATTAGAATAATTTATTTCATTTCAAATTATGTTAAATGCGCCCTAGCAGTAATTTTGTTTCTTGAAAATATTACTTGCATCTGCGCTCTGTTTATTTGAGAGAAAAATGTTTTTTGAATTTTTTTTTTTTTCTCCTCATTTTCGCTACGACATAAAATAAAAATTAGTTGAAAATGTTTTCCGTTAATCAACGGAAAACAAGTTTATTTGAATAAAGAATATTTTTAACTTTTGAAAGGTGAAAAGCCTTTCAATACCACAACCACCACTGCCACCCCCACTGCCACCACCATCACTAACACCAACAGCCCACCACCACGCCGCCACCCCACCAACACTTCCACCTACAGCCTCCACCACCATGCCGCTCCCACCACTCATCACTACACCTCCCACCACTACCACCACCAATAATACAATCACTAGGATATTATTTCAAGGTTGCAACTAAACATAGGAAAACATTTTCTGAAAAAAAAGTTTTTCATATAAAATGTTTTTCACCGAAACAAACAAAGCATTAAATTCTTTACATAATGAAGTATCAAAGAGTTTATTTCCTTTTACCCCTCCCCTTGGCAGAAAAGATCAGTATCGATTCGCACCTAACATCTTTGTCTTCAGGTGAATTTGGCTCATCAATCGGGCACAATGTTCTCGATCATAGACAGCAGAATGGTTTCTTACCCCGCTGAATGCGTTGAGAGGTTAATAGCTTTGGCACTCGGGTGTTGCCAGGACAAGCCAGAACAACGACCCTCGATGTTGGATGTGGTCAGGGAGCTAGAAAACATTCTCCGAATGATGCCAGAAACCGAATTGGACTCATCAAAATCCACATCAAAATGTTTTGGTGAATCGGCTTCATCAGCTTCCTGGGGCTTCACAACCAGGGATCCATATGTATCTTCGATTGTGTCAGGAAGTGATCTTGTCAGTGGGGTCATTCCTACCATAACACCTCGCTGATGTTCATAGAATTTTTGTTATGTGGAAGAAATCATCAAAATCTGTACTTTGGGAGCAAAAATAATTTTATTCTGTAAATATTTTTGTAGTTTTTATTTTGTATGCCAACAATGTTTTAGCTTTAACCATGCAAATGTATTGCTCTTCTTTTTACGTGTTTATACATTCTACTTAAATAGATAGGTGGAGATGATATCAATATAGTTAATTCTTAAATAAAATTTTTACATATTCTTGAATATTTTTATATTTATGTATTATTTACACATTTTGTATATTATTTGCAGTTACATCCTGACTGACGATTACCCGTTGATCAGTCATTATAGTATCAAATTTTGTTAATGAATATTTTTTCTTCTTTTCATGCAGCACTAAAAAAAATAATTATTTCTTTTTATCATATCTTAATAAAACATGATAGAATAATTTATACTTATCACATGGTATAACTTATCTATGTAATACCTTTATTATTTTATTTTTTATTTTATATCTCATATAATATCGCTATATTTGCCCACAATTCTACTAATAATCTCATTAATATTGAATCTTTTCAATAACGGAAATTTATTAAATACTTTTAGAATATCATGACATTCTCTACCGGGTATTCTTAATAAATGAAAAACACAACAGATACTAAAATGGACTGTGTGGGGGTGAAATTCACAATAAGAGAAATGGAGCTCTGGGCTCGATTTGGGCAGTCTAGTAACTATAATGTGCATGATAGAACAATACTGAGTGCTTCCCGGTTAAGGTCTGGCCAGAAAAACCCTTTCAAAGTCGAAAATTTGATAAAAAATGATAGAGGAATGTAAATAAAAAGTGCACGAGTTGTGTATTTTTGAAGTGGATTATTGTGTGACGTTCGAAAATGTTTGGGACCTTTAAAGTTGGGGACTCCATGATCCCTAAAATGATATGAGCCAATCATATGTTTTTATTTATTTATTTCTTTCTTTCCTTCTTAGACCAATCACAGATGAGTAAAGGTTGTCAAGTTGTATTTTTTAAGAGTCTGTAGCATTGTTAATGTAATATTTATTGGGCCCTCCTACTCTACAAATGTAATTCTAGCTTGGGTGTCCACCCTCATCATCTCCTCTAGAGGGGATGGTTCCCCCAATGTGTAATCTCGTCAAGGATGGGGCATTGACTTTGTATCCAGGGGGGGCATTCACTGAAGTGTATTATTTTGATGACTTGATTTGTCCCATCCATTTCACTATCAATCCATGAAGAAATGTGGTTAAGTAATTGAACAATCTACACGGGTACCCCACCCTGCTTAATCGGCATTTTTCAGCTCCTAACCTATTCAGACTAATTAGTTTTATCCCCGTCTCCAAGGACTTGTTGGGTATACCTCCTTATTGGAGTGTGGGACCCAATTGGTTTGTTAAAGAATTTTAATTTGGCTTGGTTTAGGTATAATATATTTTTATATATTATATTTGTGGAGATCCAATTCAATTTGGATATAATTAGGACTTGATTACAAAACCCTAGATTCACAAGATAAGTTTTGGTTTTTTTTGTGTGTGCCGTTGGGAGACCTAGTTGTAGTAGCTAATTGATTTTGGGTAAAAAATTGGACTTGGAAATCAATTCGGCTGGGTTTGACTTTGAGCAGCAGCATTAACTTCTGTTGATCATCTTCGGTGGGTTATCATTGTGATAAGAATAGTGATGCTTTGCTTGGTTGCTGTTTGAAGATAGTGTGGTTCGTTATTTTGGATCTTCTACAAACTCTGGTTCTGAAGATTTTGGTTCATCAATTTGGTGAGGTCTTTCCTCTTTGTTTATTTGTGATTATTTGGAATTCACCTAAGGGTGGTTTTGTGAGACTATTAGTGTCTCGTTTGTAATCGTTTGGAATTATTTGGTTGATAGTGGAATCGGATTTCGATCCCGTGGACGTACCTCACATTGAGGGAACCACGTAAAAATTCTTGTGTTGCCTTTGATTTAATTTTTCCGCATTAGTTTTTATTCCCATTGATTGATTTACTTGTGGGGAATCACATCGATTTTCCCTAACAGGACTCACATCTTTGGAGTTTTGGGAATTTAATCCCTTAATGTCACTTGACTTAAAAAACTGCTCAACTCATCTAGTTAGCTCGGCCTGCTACCTCCTATCCATAGGTTGAGGTTGGTTAAGCCGTGGTCCAAAATTTTGATCTCTAGAGTGTGGCCGTGTGTACCGTTTGATTAAATTTGACCCTTTCATAAACAATTATATATTTCTCAACTACTTAATAAAAACAAGTCATTTTTTTTTATATTACATAATTGTTTATAGCATGATTCGTGTAGTGTTTCAGAATTGTTGAATAATTAGTGTGTTAGGTAATATATTCATAGCATCATTCCAGTGTGATAGTAACATTTACGCAATTGGTCACTGCAGCAATTGGCTTAGCGAATCCGATACAAAAAGAGACATTTTTGAATAACATTTTAAATTTTTTATAAATCAAAATATTGATATTTATTTGCGTACTAACAGAAGCCAAGTCAAATATATTTTGTCATCGATCATTCTTTATTTATCAATATTTTATCCAATTCGATCCCTGTATAATTTAGCACATTCAACCTAATTGATTATATTCCATTTTGTCCAAGAGCCCGCATCTTTGGAATTTGGGGAATTTAATCTCTTAATGTCAGTTGACCCAATAAATTGCTCGACCCATCCAGCCAGCTCAGCTTGCTACTTCCCAACTTTGGATTGAGTTTGGTCCTTTTTCTTTTTTTTTTTTGTTGTTGTTTAGGGGTGTAAATTTGGCTCGGGTTGGACCATGTCGGGTCTCGCAGGTTCTACCCAAAATTCAAGCCGGGTCGGTCCGGGCCAACCCGCAAGCTAGAAAATTAGGCCTAGACCCGAGGGTAGTCGGGCTTTGGACGGGCCGGGGTTTGGGCCTGGGCCTGGGTTCAAACTTGGGGCGGGCTTGGACGGGTTTGAACAAATTGTTTTATTTTTTTTACCAAAATTTTATTATTTTCCATTAAAAAAAAATATCAGGCCTTAGGCCGGGCCTTAAATGGGTTTTAAGCAAGCCGATGGACAGAGCTCACGATCTGAGCCAGGTTTCAAAATGATGGTCCAAGCCCTAGCCCTGGATCTCGGACTGGGCTCCAGCCCGGGCCTGAGCCCACCCTGAACTGCAGGTAAACTTTAGACCACCTATTTACCATAGACCATTTTTACACTCCTATTATTGTTTAGCCGTATTCCAAAGTTTTGGTTTCAAGTCCATGTACCTACTGCTGGCGTATACCACTTAACTAAATTTGATCCACTTCATAAATAAATAAATAAATATTTTTTAATTACCTAATAAAAATAAGTTAGTCTTTATTTGATTTAGTTTTAAAATTATGATTTAAGTGTGAAATTATATTTTGAATTATGAATTTTGTATTTTGGTCTCTTAATTATTTTTTTATATTTTTAACATTACATATAGGGGTGTGCGTGGTGTGATTCGGGATAATTTGAGAGTAAAATTACAAATCGAATGATAGATCGATAGATTAATGGATTGACAAATTACGATTTAGGTAGTTTTGAACGGATTGACGGATTGAAAATATTCTAACTAATTATCAAATATTTGTATAATATATAATATTAATTTATATAATATTTTTTTGTTATATATAACACAAATTAATTTTGCATAATATGTTTCATATATAATTACTAATTTATAATAAATTTTACATCTTAAATATCTCTTACACTCTTTTTTATTTTAATATTTTATTGAGATTAAAATATATATATATATATATATGTATTAAGTATAACATAACAGAACAATTTAAAAAATAAAATTTAATTCATAATTAGTGAATAAAATGATACGAATAAATACTAAGTGTGATTTTTATGAATTAAATAATATTTATATGATTGATTATAATATGATTTACATATATTTCGAAATTACCGAATAATCGAGAGTGTCGGATGGTATATTCGTTGCATGATTCTAGTGTCAAACCCCGTTTGTTTTGGGCTATAGGGAGGGTATTGGGATTAGTAATACCAAGGTATTACTAAAGCCCCTGTTTGTTTGCAGAGAAAGCCTTGGGACTATTAGTCCCTTGGTATTGCTAATACCCTTGGAAGGGGGATTGGTAAGGAGGAGGTAGAGATGGTATTAGAAAATAGTGAGGGGATTAGAAATTTTTTTATTTTTTATATATTGGGAATTTTTTTTAAAATATAATGTTTAATTTTTTATATTTTTTATTTGTTTTATTATTTTATATAAAAATAATTTAACAATTCCTCATTATTAATCCCTTCACTATCAATCCCCTCACTATTAATCCCCTCACTAACAATTCCCTCACTATTAATCCCCTCATTATCAATCCCCTCCGTTCTATCTCCCAAAACAAACGTGCCCAAAGGTCGCAGTGATATTCACGTCACGGACTTGGTTACTTGGTTATCGGCTCATCGAGTCCACACGATAGGAGACATTTGTTTTCGAAAAACATTTTGGATTTTTTATTAGATCAAATCAAATATTGTTAGTATTTATTTGCGTACATACAAAAGCCAAGTCAAATATATTTCGTCATTGAGTCATTCTATTATATGTCTCAAAATTTTGTCTAATTCGATCGATCGATCGATCTTCCCCAATCCCCTTCTCAAACCCCTTGATTCGATCCATTGATACATTTTCTTTCACGCCGTGGTTGTGCAATCAGGTAATCCTAAATGGTTTTAATTTTAATTTTGATTTAGTTTGTTGTGTATTATCTTTCCATTTTACTTTTTGTTTGAACCCTTTACTAATTTTACCTAATTTATATATTTGCAATTTGTTCTTGAAGACTCAATCTTTTGTTTGTAAGTTGAGGTTCTATCTGATCGGAATTTGGATTTGAATTCATCTGCAATCTATGATTTTGTCGGTGAAAGTGGCGTTCTTGAATTTATTTATTTATTTATTGTATTTAATTTTGTTGTTCTGATTATCAATTTGATTCACTTTATAGTTTCTTACATTGGTTTGACACCGATTACTGATTGACACGATTAGGGTTTTGCTACCTTTGTTGAGATATGTTCTTCCATTTGGGTTTTGCTACCTTTGTTGAGATATGTTCTTCCATTTTTTTTAATAGAGAATTGATTTTTGAAGATTTCGTATCTGCTTAGTTTTAGTTGAATGTGAATTGGGATTTCTGAGATGAAAAGTAATTGTGGATTTGTTGAATAATGTGACATGGGTATTGAAATGATATACTTATTGTAAGATCTTTTGCTTATACGCATTCATCTTTGCCCTGCAGTTGAGATTTTTTGCAGCTACAGGTTGCTAGCTGACTTCCAGTCTTCCTTTGCTTTCAACCACTGGTTGCTAGTTTTTTTGTTTTTGTTTTCATTTTAAAATTTAACTGCATTGACCTTAATCAGGCCATATTCAAACAAACTCTGTTGATCTGGAAAATTAGGTCAATCAGGTCTGTGCATCTGGGAATCAAGTTAAAGTGGATTTACATAATAAGATTTAAGGGGGGCTTTGGAGCAATTTCTATTGTGGTCGATTCTATAACGAGATTGTTGGATGTATCATCTGACATTCTTGAGTTGAGAAATGATTGCCTTTTGATGTACATATGAACAGGAATGGATTTAAGATTCCAACAGGTCCTGTTATTTTTGCTGTTTCTTGTGATTCTGAAGGGTTGTGCCACAGCAGAGGCAGAAACAGAAAGCTTACCAAGGTCAAGAGCTCCTCCACTGACTAATACAGTGGGTAGTGTTATAGATGGCACAGGAACTGACGATGCCCTTAGATTTGATAGTACTGCAAATGGGTTGGGTGAAAGGAAGGTTGGAAGTAGTAAAGTCTCGGTGATCACAGTTGCATTGTTCACGCTCGCAATGGCTGCCGCTACTGGTTTAGGTGCAGTACCGTTCTTCTTTGTGGAACTTGATCCCCACTGGGCTGGAATTAATATGAGTAACGCAGTGATACTTGGCCAAGATTCTCTTTCCAACTATCTCACTCTCACAAGAGCATGGTAGTGGCAATTGGGTTGTGGCTGGAATTTTGACGGGCGGAATTTTCATTTGGGTTTGTAAGAAGGTGATGACTCTGAATCTTTCATATTTTGAATGGGGAAATTTTTATTTTCATTTTTGGTGTTTTACCATGATATTACCAAGTTACTAACTTTTATTTCTGTTACCAACTTTAAAGAACCTTATCTTGGTAAAAATTGATAAGTTTAATTTTTTTGAGAAAATGCTAGAGATCCCTAAAATATAACCCCTAATTATGTGTCACTGGCAGGGGGGTTGGGTCTTAGGTGGTTGATTTTTAAACCAATACACATCATCATGCCCGTGGGTCAATTTAGGGATCATGTTTTAGGGGTCTCAAGCGGTCTCAAAAAACTTTAAACCTTGTTTTTCCAAATGACCTCCAACACCTTTTAAACTTTTTCACCTTTGTTTATTATTAATGTGTTTATTTTAGTTTTTGTAATAATTTCTTAAAACCTTACTCACTTATCAAAAAAAAAAAAAATGTAAAATCCTACTTGGTTGTAACCTTCTGCACATTTGAATACGTATACTCTTGTTCTTGATAAGATTGATTTCTTTGAAATTAATTAAACAATTTTTTGTATTGAGTTTATTTCCAGATTGGACACATGTGCCCTTATGTAGAAGATGCCCTTACTTCAGGATGCAAATTATTGAGAATTTATAATAGATTTTAGTTTTTATTTCCGAATGTTTCCAAATTCTTTCATCATTTCCCTTGTGTTCCCAAAACGTGTCCGTTTCTAGGCTCACTGAAACAGCTCACCGAAACAAAATTTTGATCCTAGCTTTGCTTGGCATATTTGAGTTAAGGCAATAATTTGTCACCTCTTTCTACAATAGATATATGTGGATTGAGGACATGTATCAGTATTTGAGATTCTATAAATTTCTGCTTCATAAAAAGATTAAGAAAAAGGTAGATTTTTACAATAATCATATTATACCACTAATTTATAAAGGTATAGCACTGTCAATGGCCCCGTTTGGTAGAGCTGTGGGAAAGTGATTATAGCTTATAGCTTATAACTATGAACATAAGCTGATTTTTGACTTATAAATTAAGTTTCTCCTCCCCCACTCAAAGAATAAGTTGATTTTTGACTTACAAAAAGCTATAAGCTATATTATTAAGCTGAATCAAACACATCAAAATAGCTTAAATTAAGCTAAAAGCTGAAATAAGCTGGAAATAAGTTGGAAATAAGCCCTACCAAACAGGGCCAATGAAGTGTGAAAAAGCAGAAGATTTTCACAAATGCTAAAATTCTAGTGTTCCATGTCTCAGGCACCTTTTCATCATATCTTTTCTGTCAAATATTACAAGATGTCAGATTTCAACTCCCTTGCTCCTGAGTTGTTTTGATTTTGACAATAAGATTCTTAAGTGGCTCCATTGTGGAGTTTGTGTAGTAGTTGGATACACTGTACTGCTAAAATGTTAATTGTATTAAAAACAATATAGCAATGAAATGAATTAGGGGTTCATTAACACAAATGTCATGTTCTTGCCCTTGTAAAATACCAAGGGGTGTTTCAATACACCCACTTAATTTGTCTTCTCACGGACTCTCTCATAAAGATACAAGGCTTCAATGCATGTGTTGGGTGCAGAGTAAAATTGGGAAGGTGTATTTGGAAGCTCCCAATATCATGAAGAAATGAAGCACTAAAACCCTGACCCTGATGGAAGTTACCTACCATCATATTTTTAAAGCAAACAATGGGTCATGCTTAAAACCTGAATCGATGTTTCTTCCTCATTTAATCTTTCGTGTCATGCTGATCTGTCTTCTTTTTGGCCAGTCTTATTGACTTGCATTATTGTTTATGGTGTTCAGATTCTGGAGAAATATGGTGAAGTAAGTATGTTGGATATAAAAGGAGCAGATGCAGCTAAAGTCATTCTTGTAATTGGAATAATGACTCTTCATTCCTTTGGGGAGGGTTCTGGTGTTGGAGTGTCCTTTGCTGGCTCAAAAGGTTTATCTCAGGGCCTTTTGGTAACTTTGGCTATTGCTGTGCATAACATACCAGAGGGCTTAGCTGTGAGTATGGTGCTTGCATCGAGAGGGGTTTCTCCACAGAATGCAATGTTGTGGAGTGTAATTACATCGTTGCCCCAGGTAATATATTCATTCTTTTGAGATCTAGAAATAGAAATTCAATAGTTGGAAATAGATGTTTAAACCTTAAAAGCAACAGAGCATTAAAAAGACATGATTTATTGTCAATAGGAGGAAAAGTTATATATTGGACGGTAGTGTCCTTTATGTTGTTTTTAAGTTGTGACTGAACCTATATGGTACTTTAGAAACTGATGTACTTTATGTTTCATTATATGGTTTATTCTGGTGCGTGCATGCTTCCCTTGATGTAGCCTCCAAATAACTACTAAGTGGCATGGATATATCTAAGGAAGAGCATATCTATTTCAGACACCAACACCCTAGACAAAAGTCGTGCACTTCTTGGAGGTGTTCATATTTTAAGAATTCATGCCATTTATTTACACACTTGGCCGACAATTCTCATATGCATGTAATGTGTTAGGCGCCTAATTGTAGGTGTAAATTGCATAGACATTCTGGGGCGAAGTGTCCATGTGGGTACATCTACACATGAGAGTGCATAATGTGTTGAAATTTTCTTTCAGTGTCAGTTCTCTATTCTTTCAGAATCTGCCTTGTCAGTGAATCAATCATGTCAACGACCTTACTTGACCAGGAATGGATTGTCCCGTGTCCATGTGGTGATACTTGGATAATCTCGGTTCTTTATATCACACATGCATCTAATAGGAAAAGCATAAAAAGAACCAACTTTTGAATCAATGCTGAGTTGTTATGAGGTTGAAATAAATATTCTTGGTTAGATGTGCTTATATGCCCCCACTTATTGACCATTCACATCCTTGTTGCTGCAGCCTATTGTAGCAGTTCCTTCATTTATATGCGCAGATGCATTTAACAAGCTCTTGCCATTCTGTACGGGCTTTGCAGCTGGGTGTATGATTTGGATGGTCATTGCAGAGGTTCTTCCTGATGGATTCAAGGTAACATGCCTAATTTTCTGGTTGAATATTTGATCTTGAATCCCTTTTCAGCACTAAGGTTTCATGCTGTTGTTGTGACTAAAGTAATAGGTTAACCAATCCTTTCAAACAAATTAATGAAGTTAGGAGAATTACTTCCCTTATGCTTATTGTTCAGTTGATGATGCAGTTGCATCTTGATTAATTATCTTTTGGTTTTGATATTTTTCCTTTCTCTATTGAACTTTGTTTATTTTTTAGTTTTGATCAGTGTGGTTATGATTCCCTTGTTTCCTAAGTTGGATAAAATATGGTAAACTTACAATTCTATTGTTGATGTATTTTTTATAACTGAAATCCATCTATTGTGAGACATGTTTATTTTGTTCCTATCCTACCTCAACTTCTTCATAATGTTGCCACTTTGAGGGAATCCAAGTGGTCTATTTACTGAATCTCTATGTCTGTAACCACTAATTTAACACAGAACCTTGTTTTGTTTCCAATTTGTCACAAGTTAGCTTTTTGATTTTTTCATGTTTAAAATTTTGATACAAGTTTCTTCTTGCATTTTTGTGCTATAGGAAGCCTCTCCATCTCATGTTGCATCAGCAGCTACGCTTTCAGTTGCATTTATGGAAGCTCTTAGTGCTCTCTTCCTAAATTTCAGCCATAGCTACAAGTAAGTTTGTCTCTGTATTGAACTTATTCACGTTCTATACAGAGAATCATTTGTCTGAATGTGTATCGGATTATATTCTTTTGCCCCATTACAGCCTCTAAGATGTCAAACAAAGAAAAAAAATAGATGTCGTATAGCGAAATTAATTGCTTTACTCTCTGCTTGAAGTATATACCTCCTTACTCTTTCTATGAAAGTGGACTTTTTTCTTCCATTCAATTGGCTAATGGCTACTGACCTTGTGAAACATCATTACATTTTCTTCAATGATGGGGTGATATTCTATGTACGTACTGAAGAAAACCCACACTAAAATAACCAGTTTAGTCTCCATGAATCGGGATCTAGGAGGTGTAGATTGGGTACAAACCTAATCTTCAGTTTTATTTAGGCTCGAACTCACAACCCCAAGCTTATTGGACCAAGTTTTAACTATTGAACCAATGACCAAACCTAATCAGCTCTAAATCATATGTGGTCTATTCCTCAAAAAAATGTGACATAATGTGCACATGTAAACACTACAGGCAGCTTTAGGAGCTTTATTGCCAGCTGAATTGTTCCATGAGGGTAGCATAATCCTGCTGCCAATTGAAGGAATAGCTTAATAGTGGTTGCACTCTCTGTTATCAGAATCTTACGATTCGCGATTCGATTCACGATTCGATTCGCAATTTTGGCAAAATCGATACGAATCTAAGGGTGAATCTATTTTGGTAGTGAATCGCACGATTCACAATAGATTCACAATAGATTCACTTTTTACGATTCCTACAATTTTTAAAATTATTGTGTCCGACATATTTTTGACTCTATTTTTCCTCCATCCTTTTAGTAAAATGATATAATACAACTTCTAATAGCGTTTAATACGAAAATAACCAGCATATATATATGCTTTGTTGTTATTTTAGTAATCATGAAATTTTTAATAGAATCCAATTAGATTTAGTCAGACTTAACATATTTTTAACCTTTCTTCTCATTATTTTTTTTTCTTTAAAAAATTGTAATATATCTTCTAAAGATGTTTAAGATTAAAGTTACACTATGAATTATCTATAACTATTTTATTAAATTAAATATTACATCTATGAGGTCAGTTATATTTTTAAAATATTTTAGGCTTTAAAAAAAAAGATTATAAATGATTCTTTCTTATTATTTGCTCACGGTTACTTAGAAAAGTATGTATGATTATTGTCAAAATATCAATATCGTTGTTAATTATTGTTACTTTAGAAATTGATAGTTTGTCCATTTGGTTATTATTTTTATTAAGAATGGTTGATAAGAAATATCTAAAAAAGAAAAAAAGGTAAGATAGTGATCTTATATAGGAACATTTGTTAACTTTTTACTTATTAAACTACGTGATTATCATTTAAAATAATATTTTTATTAATTTAAGTCTAAAAATTTTATATTCATAAGATATATTTACCATCTAAATGTGTAAATATATGTTTTTAAATAATTTAGAAGTGACTGAATCTTTACGATTTACGATTCGATTTGATTCGTGATTCGGTACGAGATCATTTCGATTCACGATATGAATCCCGATTTGACAACTATGGTTGCACTCCCTTTCTCTATTTAACTAGATTTCAATTGGTTTATTAATGCAGTCCAGAGGATGCTTCCGGCTTCTTCGTGTCACTACTTTTCGGTCTCGGACCATTACTCGGTGGCATGGTTCTTGTTGCATTTGCTCTTGGTTTCCGTCTTCAACATGCCCTTCTTACTGGTGTAGCCTGTGGCATTGCCTTTGTTCTCGGTGCCTGGCGACCACTACAGCTGCTTCTCTCTTCGAAGATGAGCTTTTTTCCTCTCATGTGTCTGCTTGCATTGGGATCTTCATTTGCCCATATTTCAACCACAAGTGCTTTGAAGCTCGCTAGTCGGAAAAGAAACTCAGCCGATACCTTATCTGCAATAACAGGCTTTTCCTTGAGCGCTCTTACACTTCAGTCCTTTTTGTCATGCGTAGCGATCGGTCTTCATGCTCTAGCTGAGGGGCTTGCATTAGGAGTGGCCGCACCCAAAGCCTATGGGCTCGGTAGACACATGGTCCTTCCGGTCTCTCTCCACGGACTTCCTCGCGGTGCCGCTGTAGCTAGCTGCATTTTCGGAGCAACTGACAGCTGGTACGGATCCCTTGCAGCTGCTGCACTGATTGGGTTTGTGGGCCCATTATCTGCAATTGGAGCAATACTAGCCGGAATTGATTACAGTGGCCTGGACCACTTGATGATGTTTGCATGCGGAGGATTACTCCCTTGTTTTGGCAGCATCGTTAGGAGAGCAGTGAGGTTAGATGCACGGAAGGGAGGTTTCGGCCTAGTAATGGGCGTGGGCTTTGCAACTGTGTGCCTAACGTGCACGAAGTTGGTTTGCTTGCACACGCCTTACTGCAACTCTGCGCCCGAGGCTGTCAGATGATTACATTGGCGGTAATACATACCTAGAATTTCTCAGAAACATAAATGTGTGGTCCAGATTCATTTTATGCATGAACTCTCCAAAACATCAATTAAATCTCAACCACATTTTCAATTCTCAAATTTCTTGGTAAATTTTCTAGGTGAGTAGTTTTATTGTTACGTCGGAGCTCACTCTTGACCTAGTCATTAAACAGATGTATACGGCTCTGGTTCTCTTCTGTGGATGATGAAAGTCGCGCAAAAGCTCAGAGAAGAAAATTTTTGGTGGGAAGCAGGAAAGGAAAAGATTTATGCTGGAGAATTTATTGTACTATTCATAGAGGGAAAAAAAGGTATAGATTCATCTCGGCTGACTGACTGGTTGTTTTCTTACTTCAGAACCTTGCGTTTATAGACAGTAGATTGAAACTTGCACAGTTTAAAATTTCTTGTGTTGTGAGTGTATATTTTGGCTACTAGACTAGTAGTTGATCACAGAGTATGTGCAGATTCTGATCACAAAATTGGATACAATCCTCTCACATGTGATGAGATCTACACATTTAATGGGTTATGTGAGAAGGTTGTGTTTGATTTTATTGTCGGATATCGGGTTATGTGAGAAGGTTGTGTTTGATTTTATTGTCGGATATCGACAAATTTTATTCTTAAACTATGATAAAATGTAATTCACAATCATGTTTTTTTGGAATGCAAGATTGTTAGCACGTTTTTTACTTGATGCAGAACACTCTCTGAATAATCTTTCCTGGGATATATTTTTTCCAATTGTTAATATCTGAACGTGGTTAGTAATAATTTTTTTTATAAAGAAAATTGTGATTACTAATCATATTTAACCATTATTTGGAATAAATTTATTTGTACATTATTTTTAGGGTATGTTTGGCATGGGTTTTTTTTGGGCTATTTTAGTCACAAAAAGAGCTATTTTGGAAAGATAGTGAAAAGTCTTTTTTTAGCTTTTAACTCATTTTGAGTTAAATCATCTCTAATATTTTTTATACGTTTTTTAAAAAAAGTTTTAAAAAAATTAAAGATTAGCTTTTAACTATCTTTTTAAACACGTGGGTTAAAAAGTCAATATGACAAAATATTATATTCAAATCATAATTATTTTATTTTTTTCCTTACAAAATCAAAAAAAGTTAAAAAAAATTTCAAAATGAGATTTTTTAGTTTTAGATTAAAATAGTTAAAAAAATTAAAAAATCAATTCCCATCTAAAAGGAAGGCTTAAAATAATAGGTGGTTAAAGAGCCCAGTGCAATCCAAGATTCGCCACAACCAAATATGGAGTTTTTAATTAAATTCATGCCATTTTAAAACAAACATTTTTAGCCCAAGTAATTTTGAATTTATTTTTTAAATCTTTTTGTTGATTTTGTGAAGTTCTGTTTGATCGTGTTTTTGAAAATTTGACTTCAATTAATTTGGGAAACCCTTTTAGTACCTGGTGTGTATTATATGTATCTCATTATTGTGTATATTACATTAAAGTGTTACACTAAAAAAAAAAAAATTGAGTGTTATATTGAAGTGTATTTTGGTGTATTTTTCCTAAACATAACGCTCTAATGTAAAAAAAAATTAAAAAAATAAATAATATTCTTAGTGTACTTTTTCTAAATGTAACATTCAAATCAGTATAATCCCAAACGTAACACTTTAATGTAACATATTCCAATATAACATACAAAAACACTAACAAAAACTTCTTAATGTATTTTTTCCAAACGTAACACTCACAGTTTGAAATTATACATTTGTCTCAAACTTACTAAGAAATATTTGTACTCATTTTGAAATGGCTTGTGAAATCTCACATCTTTTCTTTTTTAATATTATATTGAAGTATTTCGTTTAAAAAAAAAAATACACTAAGAATTTAATGTAAACACCTACTCACCTCCAAATGCACCTGTTACACTCCGGCTTCACCTCGCACCAAATGCAAACCCAACACCAATCGGCAAGCATACCACATCCACGGAAAAAGAAGCAGAACACAATTAACAACACAATACTCACAAATGTTGCCAATGTTGGCCCCCACCATTCAATGTTAAACAATCAACATCCTTACAAACATTAACATTTCGGGCAAATTTTATATGTTCTCTTGAGATTTGGCTAAATTACAAATACTCCCTGACATTTGAGAAATTATAAATTTCTCTCTAAATACTATATTTGCATAATAAATTAAGGAATAATTTGTTATGAAATTTAAACCTCAGGGAACAAATTATTATGAAAATACAAACCTTAGAGGGCGGGATGTAATTTTCAAAACTTCAAGAGGTATCTGTAATTTAACCAAACCTTAAGAGAGGTATATGTAATTTACCCTAACATTTCCATTCCCAGACAAACACGAATCACCCCCAATAGGAAATGAATCACTTCAAGGGTATTAATGTAAACTAAAAATTAACCAAAAAACAATAAATGACACTTATAAAAAACACAGGACTAATTGGTTCAAAAGAAAACTCTTACGATCAAATGGTTCAACTTTCTCTCACATGAGATTTACTAGTAAATTTTCTAAAAAAAAATATCATAATTAAACACAAACTGATGAGTTATCATTAAAATAATATCATAAATAAACAAAAAATTAATAATAATTAAAAAATAAAATAACATAATTAAGAATATATAATACACCTTTTAAAAAAAAAAAAGTATATATTAGAATTTCCCTAACATATATAGCCTCTGTTTGGCAAGATGGTTTTCAGGCTTTTTTGGCTATTTTAGCCACAAAAAACAAAATAGACTATTTTAGCCATAACAAACAAAATATCACATCCAACCTATAATCATTACATTCTTCTCTCACAAAAAAAGTCAAAAAAGCCAAAAAGCCCTTCCCAAACCAAGCTTTTTAGCCCAGGCTAAAATAGCCAAAAAAACCAAAAAGCCAAAAAGCCAACCTACTTCCCAAACCAAGCCATATATATATAAGAAAAGCTCCACACAGTTCAGCCGTCTGACAAGGCTGCTTTGGCCAACACATGAGCCACCTAGGGACCTTAGTAATACAAATAATGGCCCTATTTGGTAGAGCTGTGGGAAAGTGCTTATAGCTTATGCCTAAATAAAAAAAAATATCATAATTAAACACAAACTGATGAGTTATCATTAAAATAATATCATAAATAAACAAAAAATTAATAATAATTAAAAAATAAAATAACATAATTAAGAAAATATAATACACCTTAAAAAAATATATATATATATATATATTAGAATTTCCCTAACATATATATATATATAAGAAAAGCTCCACACAGTTCAGCCGTCTGACAAGGCTGCTTTGGCCAACACATGAGCCACTTAGGGACCTTAGTAATACAAATAATGGCCTTGTTTGGTAAAGTTGTGGGAAAGTGCTTATAGCTTATGCCTAAACAGCTTATACCTTATAACTTTCAGCTTAAGCTGATTTCTAGCTTATTCTTAAAGCATCTCCTGCCCCACTCAAAGAATAAACTGTTTTCTGACTTCCACAAAGTTATAAGTTATAAGCTGAAAGCTGAAATAAACTGAAATTAAGCTATACCAAACAGGACCAATGTACAAAAATAACTTTTTGCAAAGGGTTTGTCAAGTCTCATGATTCCAGCTTACGCCCATTCTTCAACCTCTGGATTAACAATATAATAATAAATAAATAAATAAACATAATCATTGTCATTTAAATAAAAGATTATAATTTTTTTTTTCTTCCCGCAATCTATTAACAAAACCATTCAAAAATTAATACTTCATATTTTTTATGAACAAAAAATAATTATTATTTAAAATTTAACAAATTTGAGGACTCATTAAATAAAATAAGGCAGCACAAATTACTTCTTGTTAAATAAAACAAACAATGCCCAGTAGTAACTGGTGTGCAACCTATTGGCTCATCTTGATAATTCAAATTATTCATTTTTTAAATTATAACATGTAAATCATCCATAAAAAATTTAAATAACACAATAGTTTATTGCATTTTTTTTTATAAATTTGATTGATATAAAAAATCTAATAAATTATGTTTAAATTATCAAAACAAAACCACAATGAGCTACATAACCCAAATAGTCTGGTCCAAAATCTAAAGTGAATAGGAGACAAGCTAATCCTGGGACTATACTATAAATTTAACAATAATATTAGGTGAATTGACTGAATGTCTTAAAATGACGTCGACATTATTTTAATACATTCGAGCCATTAAGACTACACAAATTCGATCCATCAAATATTTTTTTAAATTTAAATAAAATTCTGAAAAGGAAAAGAGTGAATATATATATTTTTTTTCCTCAAAATTCTTACTTAAATACAGAATCCAAACAGAGATTTCCAACTAAAACTCGAATCAAACCGCTTGATTGGGAATCCTTGCTCGCTCGCCACTATAGCACCTTCTCCTTGTCTCCTCCATTTTCAACCACCACCACCACCTCCATCTTGGTCTTCGTCTTCTTCTCTTCCTGCAAAGTCTGCGACCCAGTCAATCTCGCCAACACCACAAACGACATTCCTCCCAAAACATTATTCAAACATCTCAGAACCACCACCGAGCTCTTAAACACCACAGGTCTCACCAAATTCGCAAGCAAAAACTCGATCCCATTCAGTGTTTGGTACCTCAGATTACTGCTCAATCCCATGTGAATCGCCCATGTCGCCGCATTCAAAATCGTCGGAGGAGCTTTATTCGGAGTGTCAAATTTCGTATCCATCTTCTTCCTCATCGCAATCAGCCCGTTCGAGATCGCCGTTCCGACGAGTCCGGCGGCGAATCCAACGGCGGCGAAGAGAAGTCCTTTGTAGACGAAGGTTCCGAAGCGGTTGAGGGGAGTGTAGGGTCCGGATTCGAACATGTGGCTTGTGGGGGAGTTGGAGAAGATCGAAGGTAGGGTTAGGGTTTTGGATGAAGAAGATGATAGGGTTGGTGCTAGGAGGTACATGAGGACGAAATTGAGGATGCAACCGACGACGAGAGTGGAGAAGACGAAGTCGAGCTCGTTCAGGCCGAAATTAGGGCGAGTGGCCATGTCGCCGAGAACGCACGCGCTTACTCCTACTAGTTCCTCCATTACGACCTTGAATGGGAATTGGGGATCTGCGGCGACTCTAGATCTCCATCCGTTTAGAAAAGCCCCCAATGGTCCTCTGCTCCACCCTCCGCCGGCGGCCGCAGCGGCGGAGGAGGAGAAATGGAATGCTGGGCGGAAGAGGGGAGAGGAAGGGGATGCGATTGGGATTGAGGGTGGTGGTTGAGAAGGAAGATGGCGGTTTCCGATGATCTGAGATAAGTGTTTTGAGAGAGGAAAGCGACGGAGCTGGGCCGCCGCCGCCATGGTCTGGTGGCGGACAAGGTGAGTTTTCGTTTTCTTCTTGTCTTTCTCTTCTATAAACCTTGAAAAACAATCCTCCAAACTCAACTGGAGGTGGTGGTGGTGGCTGCTACGGGGGGAAGTTATATATGGAAGACGATGACTCCGCTTGGACTCACTCTGCTTCTACTTCACCTACACGCACGCCACGTTTTCCACGAACCAAAATTTGCTTTCGCATGCTTTAATTATTAAAAAAAAAAAAAAAAGACAAATTACATATACCTTCTTCTTGAAGTTTAGCTAAATTACAGGTCTCTTGAAATTTCAGATATCTTTTAATGTTTATATTTTCATAACAAATTGTTTTCTGAGGTTTATATTTTTCATAATAATTTCTCCTTGATTTGTTATGTAAATATAACCTTTAGGGAGTATTTATAATTTCTCAAACCTCATGAAATATCTATAATTTTGTTAAATCTAGAAGGATATATGTAATTTGTAAAAAAAAAAAAGTACACAAAAAAAATAATAATAATAAGCACAAAGAAGGCTCAGCTCCGGTCCGAAATTGGACCGAAACGTACTGTTAGGGTTCATTATGAAGTCTATACGATAATTTAAATTAGAAAAATGTTTGGGAGCTCTAAATTAGGAGGGAGTTCTAGAGAGTGGATCTCACTGATTGATGTGATGTTTTGATCTTAAATTTTTTTTTTTCTTTTTTTTTTTTTGAATTTTCACCTCATTAGTGGTCCATTAGTACTCCCAAATTAGTGGGATGTATTATTGTTATTTAAATTATTTAATATTTAAGATTTATCAAGTATTTTATTTTTATAAAAAATTATGTTGATGAGATATTAATTATTAATTAATCAAATTAAATTTATGTCAATAATAATTATGATTTTAAAAATAATTTATTGATATAAATGTGATATAATCAAGTTACTATTAATATTTAATTAATGTGATTTTTTATCAGAATAAAATATTTAATAAGCTCTATATATTAAACGGTTTAAATTATGGATGTTAGGTTGCCGAGCTCACAAAGGCCCAATAAGATGCCTCAGTTGGGAAATCCATATGGAAGGAAGCTGATTCCCAAACGGCCCCTCCAGATGATCAGCTTGATTCATTTTGTTTTGTTTTATTTATGATCTTATAAAATTTGAAATCAAATTGAATCATAAAAATAAGGTTCAGTTAGTTTAAATTTGCCATTTTCATAAACTGTCGCCATATCAAACAATATGTCCTCATTTTATATTATTTTTGGCTTAGATATTATTTTTTAATAAGTAAATTATAAGATTAGTGTAATTTTAAAACTATTTTGATAAAATATTGTATTTTATATTTGAATTATAGATGTAAATGAGCTTAGTAGTAGGTTGATCAAAGTTGTCTTGAAAGCCCAACATATTTAAATTTAACTTGTTTGTTTTTTGAGTTGATTTTAAATGAATTTAAACCAAATCAAGTAATTTTTTTTTTTTTATTTTATAGTACATATAAACAAGTTGATTCAATCAGTGTGTTGCTTAAATTTGATTTTAAAATTTAACAAATTTATTAATTTGGTTACCTAATAAATCAATGGTAAATAAACTTTTAGCAAGTCAAGTTTGAATAATTTCATTTTCTAGTCCAATTGGTCAAATGTAAACTTCATAACATTGTGAAATTTAAACTTAAAATATGAAAAAATATATATATAAATATTCATTACAAATTTCAAATACTTTGATATTCTCCCGAACAAAAATAGAAAAAATTTCCGATATGCAATACACATCGTATACAATCCTATCACAAATTATATAAATTTTCACGAACATACATCAACTTACACATTTGTGTAAAATTACTTATGTAACCATTATCAAAGGTTACACATTTTACACATTTGTGTAAAATTTACATAATTTTATGATAACCATTATCTAAGTTCACTATCGTTTGACTATTATCAAAGGGTAGTATAGACTCTCGATTCACTACCCTTTGATATGGGTACCCTTTGATAATAGTCAAAGGTTAGTATAGACTCTGGATTCACTACCCTTTGATATTCTTGAAAATGACTCTTAACCAATCCTAAGAGTTAAGTACTCAAATTTTGTTAATCACTCTAAAAGAAATATTAAAAACAAAAATTGAATTAACCTTATTGAAAAGATTTTATCCGTTAATTCCAATTGCTTTATGAGATACATTTTCCCTAATTGTCAAAATTATAGATTAATTTAAATCATAAGACCATGCATATTTTCGTCTTAGTAGGACATACACTCCCTATAGGGTGTGGTGCTTCAGTTCAAGCCTTATCGTTACGCCAAGCGACTTCTTCATCCCATATTCTTCTAGTGATCGTAAAAACTAGACTGCAAAATTCTACAATGGGCCACGATCATCATCCCAAAAAAATTAAAATTAAAAATAAAAAAATTAACATATCAAATGAATCAATCTGAATTTAGTTAAATCACCAAAGACTACAATCCTTTTATCTAATTTTAAATAGAACAAATATGAAGTAAACAAGTCACAAATCATGTACTCACACAACATACCTACAAAATTCAATCTTTTTGCTTAAAGGTCATATTGTTACTAAAGCCTTTTGCTACATTAGTAACAATACATTGCACACTAGACAAGGCTGGTACTACTAACAGATGAATAAATTCAATGAAGTTTTACAAGAACTAGCATCACCAAACCTATATCCAATACCCATCTATATATATAAAGATCTTTTTTTTTTTCTTTTTTTGCTTTCCTTCATCTTTGATTTCTGCTGTTCAAAAACGAAAGCAAAATTAAAAGAAAACCAAACCTCAATGCTCGCCGACAAGGACTGTTAGCCTGGTTTTTTCGTTTTTGTTTTGGTAAGCTATAAGAAGTTGAGGTATACCGGCAGGTATATTCAAGCATGACTCTAGGAAGCAAAGAGCATAGACCATTTTGAACAGCAATAAATATGAGGTCTTAACGTCCGGTTTTTGGGCGTTTCATCCCACTAGTGTTGAAAGGCGAAACAATACTACTTGGCCCAGGACTCTCTTCTCTGAAATTTGAATTTATTATAGCTAGTTCGCGTAGCTGCTGCCTCTTAATATAATCCTGTGACTCATCCTGCACAGAACACGGATGTAAAAGTGAGCAAAGAAATATAGAGATATACAAACCAATAGATATAGCTATCAAATACCATGACTCTTCCTCAATGCTCTGTTTGTTTCGGCAAAAAATATTCGGTGGTGCTACATGCACCAATTGGTATACTAATTAGTATACCAACGTATATTATGACATTATTATTGACATCACTCATTTTACAAATTACAAATACCCAAAACCTTTAAATCTATGTCACATCATTTGTTAGTATACCAATTAGTGCATATAACATTATTCAAAAATATTTTCCAATAGAAAAAGTTGAAACTTTTTTTTTTTCTCCAGATAATGTTTTCTTATGTTTGGTTGTGACTTTGACAGTTATGTGCTAGTGGTGCTGGTGGGGTGGAGGTGGTTATGGTGGTGGTAAAACTTTAGTTTGGAAAACCCTTTCTACCTTTCAAAAGTGTAAAACATTTTCCCCCTAAATAAGCTTATCTTCCAATGACCATAAAAAAAATTTCCATCGACTTCGTTTTCCATTGTACCAAATGTCAAAAAATATGAAAAAAAAATTCGCCCAAACAAACAGAGGAGCGGAATATGCATATGTTGGGAAACGAGGATTACTCAATTGACTTCATGGAGTTCAGTGGTTGTAGTAACTATCTGTCAATGGCCTGCTCACTAATTGACTCAGTTGGCAGCTTTGAGTAAGATATCTAAGGGTTTTCAGGAGCAACTGCGAAGAGAAAAACTTCCAAATGCTACTAAATGAATTCTGTTGCCATATTCCAAAAGCTCTTTCAAAGGAGAACAGCTAGAAAGAAAATGTGGGTCAGTCCAAAATATAGCAACCTTAACTGAATCCTGGTCTTCAAACATCCAAAGTGGCACTTCCTAACTTCTCTCAACAGAAGGATAGGCACCGACTACCTTTCAGAATTACTTTCTCAAACACCAAAATACATAAAACCACAGACCCTGAAAATGATATTAAGGCCCATGACAATGTAAAAACAGTACAGTTTGACTAGATTCGTTCTCCTTCAAAACGATTTCCAAAATCCTTATGGTAAATACTTGTCAAGTAGTAGGGGTCAACATTGCAGGAACTTGACCATATTCACCATTACCACCTCACAAGTTTACAAACCAGATCATCTACCAAATGCATGCCTCACTACTTGTCCTTACCAGCAAATTTGTGTCGTACAGAGGACAAGAGACTTGGCATTAGATTCACCAAACCACACCAAGCCTTGTGCCCCATTTAGGTGTGGCCAGCTACATGAATCTTTTTTTGCCATCTTGCTCTATCAAGGACTCTATGCTCAGTTAAATTAAATAAATTTATATATTTTCTTACTACTGCATCACATGTCAATTTAAAACTTCTCCTCCCTCAAAATTTTCATTTATAGCAATTATATCACTTCTCTTTATTGTTGCATCTATAGGCCTTCGTTGTACATGACTATTCTCTATTAACTTATCTTCAATTGGTGCTACTTTTACTATTTCACGAATATATTCACTTTTAATTTTATCTTTTCTAGCCTTACTAAGCATCTATCCAAGCATTTTCATCTCAGTCACAATTGGCACTATATTAGAAAATGAAAAATAACATGGAATCTCCACAGAATGCAAGAAGAAGAACTAGGTTTGAGATAAATACCACTGGTTTGAGCAGTTCTTCTATGATCTCCTGTGCCTGTCTCAGCCTTATATCAACAATATGGGCAGGTAAATCAGCTTCAATCAATATATGGAGTGGCTCATTCAGGTGCTCATAGCCTGGTCTTCCCCGTAACTTATCTTCCTGGAGATTGAAAAGCAAAAAAGTACAATTAAGCTCACTTACTGCAACCAATCAACTAAAAATGAACTGAAATTGATTCACTTTGGTATAGCTGAGTCATTATCAAGAAACAGTAAAAATATTTTTTTTAAATAATTTAATTGAAATATATGTAGTACCTTGTCCGGGTCCTTTATCGATCCTTTCCCTCTAATGTATACACGGCATCCTGTGGTAGCTTCCACCCGTTTTAGTGAATTGCCCCTGGGGCCCAGAAGTCGCCCAACAAAATTGAACTACAATCATACATAAATCAATAGATTAGATACCATTTTTGTAATAATGGACGCCTTTTGTTTTCATAAAATGAAACATGATTCTAAGCTTAAAAAACAAACTAGAAGCTTACATTTGGAAAAGTATCCACCGGAATTTCTAAGCGCAAAATCCTCTTCACTGTGTATGAACTAGGACTTGCCGCCAATGACCCTTGCCAGTCCATTGTCATTCCAGGAGGTCCACTCAATCTCTGTGATGTAATTAATAAGACTAAGTGCCAAGAATATAATTTTGTTTTCTCATGAGCAGCGGAAAGAAGAAAAAAAAAATGGAAAACAGCAATCATAGATGTAGGAGAAACAGATGGTGATCAATTCTTTGGTAGCAAGTAGAATAATAGCACAAAGGACCAAGAATGGATGCAATACTAAAATATCTATTATCAATAGCTATCAGACTCAAACTTCAAAACTTTTACGCAGCCAAGCATTAACATTATTGAATGTGGCCACACATAAAAACAAATAACATGGCTTTGACTAAAACTCCACACAGGTATCCATAATTCACATGATAAATTGGATAATTAGATAAATATCTCTATTTCATGAACTACCTTGTCACAAACTTAAACAAAGAAAACTCAATTCTCTGCAGTGCTTAAATCTTGGAAAAAGTCTCATTAATGTTTAACTCTCTCACCTTCCAGTTACTTGGCTTGTTAAAGAATTCTTTGCAAATAAATATCAACCATGCATACATCTTGCTAAATGCCTTCTTCCATTTCATCAGCAGACTTTAAAAGGGGCACCGTCAATAATAAGGGTACCAAATTAACATATAACACTCATGAAAAGTCCAACATATACCTGTTTGCCAGTTCGATAGGTAAGGAGAGACTTTCCGTGAAACTATTAAATGGTTGCTATCTACAGCACCAGCTAGTTTGATTTTGGAATAGAAAAGATAACAACAAAAAGAAACATGGAACTGTGAATGCAATAGTAGGCATTATAGACAAGATCCTCTTCCCTTCTCTTTTTGTGTGATTCTACCACAAAAATGAAATCTTTACATGGACAATCCATGCTTTCCTATGCTGAAAAAATGACAATTAGTAGTTTTGCAATTCCTTCACACTTAATAAAAGGTATCATATGATTCTCAAGAACTTCTCCTATTCATGATTTCATGAACATGAACATTTTTTCAAACTCAATACGTTTAAGAAACATAAAAATTGAAAATCCATTAATATGAGGAATTGGTGGTTTAATGGTGTATAACAGTGTTTTACCATTGTAGGTGAACAATAAAGACAATAGCTGTTAAGAACAGTGGTTGTAGGAAGTTCATTGTGACAACAAAAAAGAAGTAGAGCATCTTCATGAAGAAAATCTTGAAAATGGGTTCTTATCTTCCACTGATGACTTTAACTGACAAAACCATTGAAAAAAAAACTCTTCTTCAGTTTGAGGAAGGAAAACAAAAGGTTAGAGTGCAATAATACATCATGATTGGGGATTATTAACCTCTAATGAGGCTTGAATTCGAGTTAGCAACATTAGTTTCTACTAGAAAATATCACAAAAGTTCACATTCGGTTTTACCTCCAAACAATTGTGGTTCACATTTGTTGAAAATTAATTGGGTGATTCTATTTACACACCATTGTTTTTCTTAGTACACACCATTTGCTATTTTTTTTTTAAATTCTTATTGTATCCCTCAACTAAATTACTCTTTTAGACATTACCCAAAAACTCAATCTCTCAATTCACACACCACACCAACCACCACCATCGGCACACACACAACCACCACCGTCACCATCGGCCACAGCCATCAACATTGCCGTTGCTGTTGCCGCTACCCCTTTTTCCAGCGTCCATTTCTTCTTCTTCTTCTCCTAGATCTAGGGTTCAAGTTGAGATGTCACATCTTCTTCTTCTTCTTCTTCTTCTTCTTCTTCTTCTAGATCTAGGGTTCAAGTTGGGATGTCAAATCTTCTTCTTCTTCTTCTCCTGCTCCTAGATTTAGGGTTCAAGTTGGGATGTCAAATCTAGGTTTAGGATGGCAGTGACAGCCGCAACCACCAGTCAACTCTTCTTCTTCTTCTCTCTCTCTCTCTCTCTCTCTCTCTCTCTCTCTCTCTCCACACCAGCTTTTTAAGGCAATATTGAAAATGAAGTAGAAATGTAGTTACAAGGTTATTTCAACTAAAAATCACAAATAAACAGGTAATGCATGACCTACAATCCCGTTCACTTAATGCTAGAAGCCATTCCTTGATTTTCAATACCTACAATCCTGTTCACTTAATGCTACATAAATAAATTCTATTTATCTGTGCCAGTTTCCACACCAGCTTTTTAAGGCAATATTGAAAATGAAGTAGAAATGTAGTTACAAGGTTATTTCAACTAAAAATCACAAATAAACAGGTAATGCATGACCTACAATCCCGTTCACTTAATGCTAGAAGCCATTCCTTGATTTTCAATACCTACAATCCTGTTCACTTAATGCTACATAAATAAATTCTATTTATCTGTGCCAGTTTCCACACCAGCTTTTTAAGGCAATATTGAAAATGAAGTAGAAATGTAGTTACAAGGTTATTTCAACTAAAAATCACAAATAAACAGGTAATGCATGACCTACAATCCCGTTCACTTAATGCTAGAAGCCATTCCTTGATTTTCAATACCTACAATCCTGTTCACTTAATGCTACATAAATAAATTCTATTTATCTGTGCCAGTTTCCACACCAGCTTTTTAAGGCAATATTGAAAATGAAGTAGAAATGTAGTTACAAGGTTATTTCAACTAAAAATCACAAATAAACAGGTAATGCATGACCTACAATCCCGTTCACTTAATGCTAGAAGCCATTCCTTGATTTTCAATACCTACAATCCTGTTCACTTAATGCTACATAAATAAATTCTATTTATCTGTGCCAGTTTCCACACCAGCTTTTTAAGGCAATATTGAAAATGAAGTAGAAATGTAGTTACAAGGTTATTTCAACTAAAAATCACAAATAAACAGGTAATGCATGACCTACAATCCCGTTCACTTAATGCTAGAAGCCATTCCTTGATTTTCAATACCTACAATCCTGTTCACTTAATGCTACATAAATAAATTCTATTTATCTGTGCCAGTTTCCACACCAGCTTTTTAAGGCAATATTGAAAATGAAGTAGAAATGTAGTTACAAGGTTATTTCAACTAAAAATCACAAATAAACAGGTAATGCATGACCTACAATCCCGTTCACTTAATGCTAGAAGCCATTCCTTGATTTTCAATACCTACAATCCTGTTCACTTAATGCTACATAAATAAATTCTATTTATCTGTGCCAGTTTCCACACCAGCTTTTTAAGGCAATATTGAAAATGAAGTAGAAATGTAGTTACAAGGTTATTTCAACTAAAAATCACAAATAAACAGGTAATGCATGACCTACAATCCCGTTCACTTAATGCTAGAAGCCATTCTTTAATTTTCAATACCTACAATCCTGTTCACTTAATGCTACATAAATAAATTCTATTTATCTATGCTAGTTTCCACACCAGCTTTCTAGTCAGCAAGTGTTTTCGATAAACAAATACACATGAAACCCAAATGCCAAAAACATTTGAGTCCATGATAATACAAATGTTGCAACTTTAAGCACCAGTTTTCATAAATAACTAATTTCAATTTACAGTAATGCAATGCAAGATATATCTATCTCTTACATCACTTCCAAAGGAAATATCAAATTTTGGCATTGCCACTAAATCAGGTATAAACTTAGGATTTATATGGTCAGACACCCCAAGTCATGCTGTGCATTATACAAGTTCACTTGGAAACTGAAGTAAATGGTTGCCAAAGCTCACATAAAAAGTCAAGTATTCTTTGATAAGACAACAATATATATGGTAGGAGCAGTCCATTCTACCAGTCCAAAAAACTTAGGAGAGCAACTGCGTTTTCAAAACCAAAAATGAAATCTGTGAACAATTAAGATGATGCCAAAGGACCCCAGCATGCCCATGATAATTGAATATATCTTTTGTGCAGCATACCAGTAAGGGGGAAAAAAACAGTTTTACAGCATTTCTTGGATCCATTCACTCTTCCTCAGACCAGTTTGAAGGTAGTCATTTTAGTATTCCAACAAAGGACCTCTCTATTTGGCCATTGGTAAGAATTGGGGTCATAACCTCTAGGTTTTTGGTTCAACTCTGGGCGAAGCCAAGGCTTTCGGTTTTTGCCGGTGACGAAGAGTGGTGCATCTCATTACCCCAGGTTTGGGTGTCTAATTAACTTGAAAGGGATCATGTCCCGGTTATAAAAAAACAAAAATTAGAGGACTGACATTGTACACTATATCTACTTAAGTGTCTCAGATCCTATGGCAAACGCAGTGAGTGATGTCTACCTGTTCCATGGGAAATCCAAATTTCCCCATAGAAAAATCTAAATCAGATGTGCAAGCGATTGAGGAACAAGAGAGAGAAATGAATAATAATACACATCAAATATTACCCTTCCTACATAAAGCAAGAACCACCATACTGCTAGAAATTTATTTTTTCACCCCAAGTCATGCACCTATACCACCGCTTCTGAAGCATTTGGAATCTCTGCCATAATCATGTGCGCATTTGAAAGACCAGCATCATCACCTTTTGTACAGAACTAACCTTGATTCAACAGTCTGTTACATATCGGAAGAACTTGCATGAAGGGTGCAATCTTCTGATGCTCTGCCAACAGCTCCGACCAGTACTGATTACTACACCAAGATGAGCAAAAAAAGGGGGGAAAAATGAAAACCACATCAATCAAACCCCACGTAACTTCAAATTCAAGTCAAGTGATCAAAAAAACATACAGAGAATGAAGAGCAAAGAGAATTGAACTACAAAAAACAAGTGAAAGTATACCTTTCAACATCTGGGGTACTTCTAATCTGCGGAGAAACAGCCCTTGCAGGTGAGAAGTTGGGATTGTAGAGGCCTGACATCGCTTTTTCGAAGACCTCTCTCTAATCAATGGAACCCAAAAGGGCTTAGACTTGCAGGAGAGAGAGAGAGAGAGTGAAAAGGGTTTGTATAAAAAGAAGGGTAGAAGCTAGAAAGGTCTGTGAAATTTGCAGATTTTTAGTTTAACTTTTATGTATATATGTGTATGTATAGACAAAAATGGGAAAAATAAAAGGTGAAAATGAAAGGGAGATTTTGAAGAAACAGCGTGGGGTTTTTGTGGTTGAATTTGTGAGGTGTTTTTTTTGTTTATTTATGCGGAGAAAATTTTGAAGGAAAAGAAAAGAAAAGAAAAGAAAAGGGAAAATAATTTCACAGTGGCCGAGGAAGAGAGACAAGGAGGACGATGAAGGAAAGTGAGAGAGCAAGCACGGGAGCAATTTACGGTGGAACAGAATCTATCTGGAAGGTGGCATAGCTGTGTGTAGGTGTTGTTTTTATGGGTAAGGTCTTGTTTGGTATAAATTAAAAATTTTAAAAATTAAAAAGTCATTATCTTATTTAAGTTATATCATTTTATTTAAGTTATATTATTTTTTTATCATATCATTTTAAATTTAACCCAAATTCAACTCATATTTTATAAAAAGTCAAAAATTTAACCCATATTTTATAAAAAGTCAAAAAGTATACTTATTTAGGACATCTCAAACCACCCTTAATTATTTGGAAGGAAAATTATGAACAAATAAGAGTTTTTTTTTTTTTTAGGATACTGTATTAAGATTTTATAATATAAATGATATTTAATATTTTTATAATATTTAAAATTTCTTAACATTGATCAAGAGAAATTTCAATTAAGGAAAATTCTTCTTAGAAAAATTCTTTCCGGAGAAACGTTGGACTTCTCAAATAATTTTTCTGGATTCAAACCAGAGAAAATTGAAATTTCTGTGAGTTTAAACCAGATAAAATTGAACAATAGAAAGAAAATTTAACAGGGCAGAGAAAATTACTCAGAGAAAATTGAAATTTCTCTGAGTTCAAACCAGAGAAAGAGAAAATTGAATAATACAGAGAAAATTAAACATGCAAATAAAATTACCAGAGAAAATTGATCAGAACAAAAT